TTATTATGCTCAGTGAAATAAGTCAGACAGAGTAGGATAAATACCATATTTCACTTATATGTGGAATCTAAGGAAGAGAAAAAACTAATAAAAAACAGACTCACAAATATAGTGGATAATTTGGTGACAGAGGGGAGGGGGTTTGGGGATCTGAGAGAATAAGGTGAAGGGTTAAAGAAGTACAAATTAGTAGTTGATAGTTGGGCACGGGAATGGGGAGCACAGCAGAGGGAATGTAGTTAGCATTAATATGATGGTTAAGTGGAGGGCCAGGGGAGGGAGGGAGCATTTGGGGGGATCGTTATGAACAATACAGATGTCTAACCAATGTACTGTATACTTGAAACTAATTTAAATAAATCATAAAAAAATATATAGTACATACAGTTATGTACAGTACATAATTCTCGACTATGTTACTGGTTTATGTATTTACTATACTATTTATTGTTATTTTACAGTGTATTCTTTCTACTTATACAAAAAGTTTGCTATAAAAGAGTATGCCTTGTTAGGTTGGCAGCAGCCTCATATAGCTCGTGTTTACTTGCATCTCTTGGTTGTATCATTTTCTCTTGTGCTTGATTTAATCTCATATAGTTTTGTTCATGGTCTCTAAGCATACAGAAATCCACTGTTAATGTTGCCAGCAAGAGGTCACTTTGAGTGATTGACCTGGAAACAAAATTAAAAGTGATTAAGGACTATGAAGGATGGTTATTGCTTGTCGGTCAGGCATGTGCCATTCCACCATTGCTACCATCTTAAAGAACCAGCGATTAAGCTATTAAAGGATCTGCTTCATTGACGGCAACAAGGCTAACAAAAGTTTGAGAAGGGCCCATATCAGACATGGAGAAACTTCTAATGACTTCAACTGAAGAAGCATATCCCTCTCAGCACCATTATGGTCACAGCCAAAGCTAAAAGATTTTTTGCAATATTGAAAGAAAAGGCTGGACCCAGCTACAGCATTGGATTTACTGCTAGCTCTGGGTGGTTTAAACAATTCCAGAATCATTATTCATTACGTAATATGAAAGTGAGTGGTGAAGTCTATGAGTGCTGATGTGAAGGCAGCTGAAGAATTTTTGGAATCTCTAGATAAGCTGATTTTGAAGGGAAATTATTTGCCAGAGCAAATAGTCAGTATGGATGAAACCTCCCCTATTCTGGAACAGAAACTTGAAAGGACCTTCATCCATAAAAAGGCCAAGTCAGTGCCAGGTTTCAGGGCTTTTAATGACAGGATAGCTTGGGGGCAGTGTTGCAGGCTACAAATTGAAACCCTTTGTGATCTGGCACAATGAGAACCCCAGGGCCTTCAGACATATCAGTAAGCACACATTGCCAGTGTACTGCAGGTGCAATAAGTCATGAATGACCCAGCTCCTCTTCCAAGATGCTCTCCAGAATTGCTATGCCAGCGAAATGGAGATGTACTGTTTGGAGAATAACATAACTTTCAAGGTTTTTCTTATTTTTGATAATGCTCCCGGACATCCTTCTTTTATTGCTGATCTTCATCCCAGTATCAAAATGGTGTTTCTCCCTCTTTGATCTAGCCATTGGATCAAGGAGTTATAGCAACTTTTAAGGCCTACTACCTGAGGAGGACCTTTGCCCAGACTATTGCTGCAACTTAAGGAAGACACAGAAGACACTGACACAATTCTAGAAGGATTAGAACATCTATGACAACATCAAGAACCTTGCTTGGGCCTGGGATGATGTCACCAAGGAGTGTAGGAATGGCATCTGGAAGAAGACACTCATGAGGTTTGTCCATGACTTCAAAGGATTTGCCACGAATGAGGAGGTTGAAAAAATCAACAGGGATATGGTTGAGATGACAAACAACTTTAACCTGGGTATTAATGAGGATGACATTGAGGAGCTCCTAGAGGTGATTCCTGAAAAATCAACTAATGAGGAGTTGTTGGAACTGGAACAGGAACACATAGCTGAAGACAAAGCAAGATAAAAGGAAACTGCAGGAGAAGAAAATAAGAACTAAGAAAATTGACAATGAAGGGTTTAGCACAAGCTTTTGCAAACTTCAACAAAGTCCTTAAGTTTGAAAACATGGACCCCAACACCAAAAAGTTTTCATTAATAAAGAGTAATGTTCATGACATTGTCTGCTTACAAGCAAATCTATTATCAAACCGCCGTGGACATATTTCTGAAAAGAGTGACACTTCAAGAGGAGCCTCAGGCAAGTCCTTCAAGAGGTGTTGCCAAAGAAAGCATTGTTATCAGATGACAGCTCCATGTGGTAGTGCCCTTGCAGACCTTCCAGTGGGACAAGATGTGGAGGTGGAAGACAATGCTCTTGATGACCCTGACCCTATGTAGGCCTAGGCTAATATATATGTTTGTCTTAATTTTTAACAAAAAATTCAAAAAGTAGAAAAAATAAAAAATTTTAAAATAGAAAAAAGCTTATAGAATTAAGGATATAAAAAAAATATTTTTCTACAGCTGTACAATGTGTTTGAGTTTTAAGCTGTTAATTACAAATGTCAAAAACTTTAAAAATTCAAAGTTTATAACATTGAAAAGTTACAATAAGCTAATCTATTGAAGAAAAATATTTTATAAATTTGCTGTAGCCTTAGTGTACAGTGTTTATAAAGTCTACAGTAATATCCTAGGCTTTGACTCACAATTCATTCAGTGACTCACCCAGAGCAACTTCTAGTCCTGCAGGTTTTGTTCACGGTAAATGCCCTATGCAGGTATACCATTTTTTATGTTTTACATTACCCTTTCTATATCTTTTACTGTACCTTTACTGTACCTTTTCTATGTTTAGATACACATTGTATTGTAATTACAATACAACACGTGTTGTAATTGCCCACAGTATTCGGTACACTGATGTTCACACAATGACGAAATCACCTAGTGATGCATTTCTCAGACCATATCCCCAACATTAAGTGACACATGACTGTATTTGTTTTAAACTATTTTTTATGTCAAAAGGACATAAACATTTCTAATAGCCTTTAATTTGCACTGTCACGTTTTATGTTTTGGGAACAGAACTCTTTTAGGATTAAAGGCTGTACATCACATATTTGTTAAAAATTGTGGAGTAGCATTCCATGTTTTATAGAGCTTCCATTACTTGGTATAAACTTTCAGCTAAAGATGATCCAAAATGTAAATGAAATGGATCTTACTTTATACTGGATTGTATCTTAAATTCAAATAGCTAGTGTATTATTTTATTTGAAAATAATTTTAAAAAATTATTTTTTTAAATTATGGAGTTTCTTGTTCTATTTATTCTCCTAGAAATTACATTAGATAATACTTAATCTTTTCCACAACAGCTTTGTTATTTTAAATTCTTTTACAGAGATATGTACTAGAAATATAATTTCCCAAACCTTTACCCCCAGAGATTGACTAATTAGGTCTGGGGTGGGGCCTAGGAGTCTGCATTTTGACTAGCAGCTCAGGTAAGTCTCATGTAGTATTCTTATTTAGGGATCCTTAGGACCACACTTTGAGAAACATTCTTTTGCCATACTATGGCTTTACAACATAATTTCAACTAGGGTTGGCAAACTTCTGTAAAGGGCCAGGTAGTATTTTAGGCTTGTGGGCCATACAGTTTCTGTTGCAACTATTTAACTCACCTTCGTAGCATGAAAGCAGCCACAGCTAAAATATAATAAATGAGTGTGGCTGTGTTCCAATAAAACTTTATTGATGA